CAGGGATTTAGATTGGGCAAAAAATGGCCAGCCCATTCTAAGTTCACTTAAGGAGGCATACTATGTAGGTCGGGCTACTCCGTGCTTGATCTAGCTGAATGTTTGTACATGTTGGGACCATAGCCCCAGAGCTGGGAAACTAGCTCAAGCACTGATTGCAATTTAGTCACAGCAGCATAAGTAGTTACCTAGCTTTTTGGTTGCATTTTGCAGCATATATAAAGTTCCATGCTGCTGCAGTTACATTTCTAGCAGGAGTTAAGCTAGTTTAAAGTTAGCTTAAGTTTTCCTATACAAGATGTGATCATGGTAGTGACTGTAGTGTAGACATACAACTTAAATTAATATGCAGTTAAACCATCCTTACTATACTTGATATCCTCATTCTAGATGTAGGAAATTACTACAGTGTTTCAGATACCATGAGCAATGTCTTGATGATTTGGTAAATGTTGATTTTTTTTTTTAAAGGGCCTGAGTGAGCTAGTCATCCTTATGCAGCAGAACATGTTATCATTTATTTTTTAAAACAGGCACTAAAGTATATGCTGAGTTGAGACCTTAACAGGAAACATTTACATCAAGAGTAGTTTTCCCATGAGAGGAAATTGAAATGCATAGAAATGAAGTTGCTTGCTCAAGGGAAACACAAGGACTGGAATTAAAAGACAAAAATGCCTGACTCCTAACCAATGTCAACGAACAATTTAGGGCCCTAGCTCCTAAAAATAATTCAGGATGGGTAATTCTCAGTCCATCACTTGAATATTTGTCTACCTCCATTGAATTATTATCAGAGTATATTACAGTAGTTTCCAAGTAGGGCTATTTTATTGTATACAATATTTTTAAAGGAAAGATGTTCATACCCTACTCTTATATTTTATCATAACAAATTGTTTGAAGAAAGAGCTGGCCAGATGCTTAACTGGCATAAATCAACATAAACTCATTAACTTCACTAGGGCTATGATGGTTTTTCCCAGAAGGTCTATATAGCCTGATCAAAATCAAATCCAATTTTCATTCTAGTAATGAATTAACATTCTATAAGCAGGGTTACTTGAGATAAACAACACTTTATGTACAATTCCGTTAAAAAAAATTATAAATGCTTAGTAGAATGTGTTTTTTAAATAGTTTCATTTGGATGAAAATAATTTATTTTACACAAAGAAATAAAGTTAAAAGCCATAAAGTGTTATAACTTACTAGCAAATTGCCCATCAAGAATGACAAGGAGGTGGGGCAGGGACAGAGGCCTGCGTCTGGCTCCCCCTCCCTGTCTCGAGCCAGGGCCAGGTCCACCCCCCACCCCCCCCCTGCCACTGTGGGCTGGGGCCGGGGCCACTCCCTGCCTTCCCCCCCCACCGCTGCTTCGAGCTGGGGCCAGGGACTGGGCCATTCCCTCCTCTCCCCCCGCCCCCGCCCTCTGCTTCGGGCAGGGGCCAAGACCAGCACTCCAGTCCCCCCCGTTATGGTAGTGCTCCGGTCCCTGCCATCCCCCCTCACCTCCCTTCCCTCTGGCCCCCCAGTTCCCATTGTCATAGCAGCACTCCACCATCTGGGTCTGTCTGTGTAGAGCACTCTGATTGGCTGCTGAGACAGCCAGTCAGAGTGCAAATAAAGTGTTATGGACAGACAGACAGAAAAAGGCTTTTATAATATTTGAATTATTGAGGTTTGAAAAAGGTATCCTAATCTGTAAAACTATAGCAAGGAGGATTCAGTGATAAAGTTAAAACTCACATTTGCCTACTGCACAATCCAAAACAGGTTTCCTATCTAAAATGATGCTTGAATGTTATGTTCCATCTCTAATGTGTCTTTTTACAAATATCTTGTTTTATATATTTGATTTGCATCCAAAATACTGGCACAGCTTCACTTGGGTTTCTAAATCATAAAATAGTTATGCAGGCTACATAGCAGCAGCCGGCTAATTTGCCACAATTTCTAAGCATTTACTATTTCTTCTCTTTTTTTCATCCTTCCCAGTGCCTAAAGAGAGAACTTCAGAGGATACACCCCCCAAAAAGAAATCACTTTAACCAATCAAATATTCATTATTGCATTGTCTTTGAAAGGAAATAATTCCACTGCACCTTAAAAAAAGCAAAAATATTTAAATTACTCAGTTTTATGGTATGGATAAAAGAAAAATAATTGAAAATATATGATTTTCTCTCCTCTGATGGAGATTAATACAGATTCCTCCTTTTAATGAAGGGTTCACTCTTTAGATTATAATTGTATTTCGTTAATTTGCATTTTAGGAAGGCATGCATGTGAATTCACCTGATTAATTATTTTAATAGATCCTGGAGTTTTGAGATCTCCCACCAGAATTTTTTCTTAATAGCTGTATTTTTAAAAGAAAATTAATGTCCTGATGCTACTGATTCCAAAATATCTTACTTTATTGAAATAAAAACATATTCATCTTTCCTAGCCTTTTGTTTTTCACCCTTGCTAGGTAAATGTAATTATCAAGAAGTACTGATGCTAAATTCTGCATCCTTTGCTGATTTGTCTAGATTACCCTTTGTGTATCTGTTTGAATGCAAGCTCATTGAATGCCAATTAATCACTAATATGATTGTAAATACTAATTTAGACACTGTAAACACGGATTCCAGGATACAAATGTTAAAGTATTGTCCAGACTAGCCTTTACAGTGTTAACTTTTGATGACTGACATTTATTCGCTTCTGTAAAAACAATACAAGAGTATTGTTTTTCAGTCATGAATCACAAAACTATAAAGATTAGTCTCATACTTTTTCAGAACTCCTTCTCTCATGATACTTCTGAAGGAACTGGTATAAAACAGTGTGAGTACATGTATGTGTTTGAGAGCTGGAGTTATTAAAATAAAAAAGGAAAAATATACCATGCTCAGTACTTTTTAAATCCCAGGTAATAAAGGAGGACTAAAACCTAATTCTACATTTTCAAAGCCCTCACACATTTTTCAGGAAGAAAAGGTTCCCATAGTTATTTCCTAGTGTCTTGCTGAGGCCTCATGATTTGTTGGGGGCTAACTGCATATTTCCACATCCCAAAAAATATAATTCAGAATAAGTGTCTTCAGCCTGTGCTTTAAGTTTGGCATTTCAAGATGAATTGTTGCTCTTTGTACTAGGTCTGCCTGACTCAGAAGACAAGGGGGCCTGATTCTATCCTTAACTCGGTTTCAGGCATTACTCCTTTGATGGTGATGGAGTTACTTTGATATAATACTGGTGTCAGTGAGGTAAAAATCAGTGAAAAGGTTAAAGAAAAATGGAAAATTCTGTTGCAGAATCTGTAATACCCTGTAACATCATCTAGAGGTAGACTGGGGAAAAGAAAGTAAGTGGCTAACATTAGGAGTAGGTTCCATGTCATTGTAAACTAGTCAAACTCACAGCCTGATGTATGCAAGTTGAATCTATGAATCGTAAAATGTGCTACTTTTAATCCTTTAAAAGTATTTTGCAAGTGGAGAAGTGGAGAAAGGACAGGGAAGTGTGTCAAAGTGGGGTCCCTGGATAACCTCAGGGCTAGTTTCCTAACCTGCCTCTGGGCACGCCCCCCACCTGACTTTCCTGCCACGCCTTGATGGAATATAATTAGGTTGTTAATTAAGGTGGGAGGCTGCCCATTTTACACCCCAATATTGCAGGGGCTATCCGTGGCTCTGTTCCACCCCTACACTGTGGCCCAAGCCTCGCAGATGGCATCTCAGGCAGTTGGTTCAACTGTCCCCTTTGCCCATTAGCTGTGGCCCCCAATCATGGCACCTTCCCCTTCCATAAGCCCTGGCCCTGTCTCAGGCCAGTCAAGACCCCGAACTTCTTTGCTCATCATGGGCATTCCTCACGGTGGGCCCCTGGCCTTTTTGACCCTTCCGGTCCTGGCCATAGTATAGACCAGTTGAATGCCTCGGTTGGATTTTTGCATTCTGCCTGCACTTAGGGATCGGGGTCCCCCGTTCCCGGCTCAGTCACTCCCCAAGCCAGGCTCAGGCACCTCCAGAAGCTTAGTTGGCCTACCCTGCTCTGATGTTATATGACCCACCCAAAGGTGAGGGCTGGGGTTAAGGTACCCCTACTCGCCTTTCACTGGGGTGGTAACTGGCCTGGCATTTCCTGGGGGCTCCTGCACCACTGAGAGCTCCACCAGGCCACCCATTCCCGGCAGGGTGCAGTTTTAGGTCATGCCCAGGACCAGGAGCCTCCAAACCATCCCCTACAGCTCCTGCCCGTACCTCCAGAATGTTACAAGAAGCCTTGCAGCCAGGCGATGTTACTGCCTGGCCTGCCAGCAGCAAACTACCCTGTTTATATAGGCAGCCAAAAAGGGGCCGCGGTGGAGAAAAACCGCCTGCCACAATTAAGCACCTGCTGGCTGCTTGGCTCGGCCCTTAATGTGGCAGGCACCAACAGTGCCCTGCCAAAGGAAGTAATTATATTTTTGTGTAATATATTTCCTATGCCTTACCTTTGTTCTTTCCAATGATGTATGGAATGATTCAGACATTCATCTCATTTGTTTTGCCTTTTAATTTAGCTATCTTATTTACCACAAAATTAAGCAAGTTGGAATAAACCAAGTAGTGACTAAATTCACCCCTCTGTAACACAGATATAACCCAGTTTGTGTCATTTCAGCCAAATTTACTCTGGTATATATCCATATAGATCCACTGAGGGCCATAATTAACCGAACCTAATACAATTCTGTCCTTTTGACAGAAACAGTTTTAACAGTACCTTTTTGTCACTAACAGCATGACACTGGTCAGATTCTACTGTCTGATTTTTTTCAAAGGATCTGTTGCCTTGTAGGTGATATGAAAATATCTTGTGTCTTTTTAAGTAAATGTATGTATATGCAGATAGAGAGAGAGATGTTTATGTGCATGTGTGTATACATACTCATCAACTTTTAAATAACTTTTGTAACCTTTTCATATAGCGATTCCTATAAAATCTATACTCTTGTTTCATTCCAGAGATCCCTGAAGATCCACAAATTGCAGAAGCATATTATAATGATGAGTTTGATTCTTGCTCAGAATCAAGTGAAGAAGAGGAGAAATACAATGAAGAGGATGAGAATGCTGAAATATCTCAGTCTGTCTCCAGAACAAATCAACAGGTAGATTGTGTTCTTGTGTGACAATAGCATATGCCTGGGTGCTATTTTTTATAATTGTTTGTAAAGCAACAATCAGCATAATACACTGAGTGTCCGATCTTGAGAAGTACTGATCAATTACAGTTCCCACTCATTTTACTGAGATTGTCGGTGTTAGAAACCTATCAAAGTTAGGTCACATGAATGTGCATTTATAAACCATCCAAAATAAAGAGAGTATTCTGTATCTCTTTAGGATTAAGGACAAAAGTACTTTAGGGACCAAGATGTAATTGAGCGTTGTCACATTTGGAAATGGATCTTAGCCTCATAAATCAGGAGCTTTTGAAAATTTGTCATGTACCTTCAGTCTGTGTCTTGTATGCCTGTGATCCATATACAGTCTGTTTCTAATTTATCATGTTAATCAGTTTGTTTTTTATTGTAAACTCCTTGAGTAGGGACAGACATTCAAAAAGTCTGAGTCTAAATTAATTGAATCTTTGCAGGTTAGTCTAACTTGGCTAGGCTAAATCAGTTTGTAACCATGCAGACATCCCCTCTGGACTCAGAAAATGAAGGCATATGCTTGCAATAGCTCAGGCTAGAAGTCGGGGGGCACTAAAGCAGCCCTCCCTTCCCTTCCAGAGTGCTGAGCTGAGGGGGCGTGGCCAGGCCCCAGCAGGACTGGGGAGGGGTCATCTATCCCCCTCTCCCCCCGCCCCCCAATCAGCCCAGCAGATAAAGTTTATCACCCCTAACTCAGTGTTTATCATCCCATTAAGAAAACAAAGCCTCTCTCCATTAGTTCAAGCTCTTCTTAAACAGCTTTTCCAAGGAAGGACATTAAGCTACCTGTTGATTAGCTCCAAAATGCCTGTCTGCTTTTGTCTTCTCCCACAGCATGGACTCTAGCCAACATGTGGTCTGCTAGGTAATGCTGAGATATGTCTGTGTAAAGCAGGGGGGTGGGAGGGAATACTTCCTGCTTAGCAGAGAGAAACCAGGCAGATGCCTGCAGTCTCTGCCAGAGCTCCAGCAAGGGAACAGAGGGATGGGGCCAGTTCTGCTGTGGAACAGAGAGCCCTGCCCAGCCCAGAGAGCATGCCAAGATGCTGGGGGAGTCTGGTTTATCTTAAACCAGCAAGGGGTCTGGGACAGACATTGCATAAACTGGTTTGAGCCAAATCAGGTGAGTCTGATACTACATTCAACCAGGTTTATCTCAAATCGGTTTCGGTCATTTTCAAACTGGTTTAAGTACACTAAGCATCTGTTCTGTTACAGGTTTAAACCCATTTCTGATCACTTAAACTGGTTTATGTGTAATGTCTGTCCCTAGCCCTTAAGAAAGGACTGTGACTTCTTTTACTTCTTTAGGAATGACATGTATCAATGTTGCTCATCAAATTTAAGTAACTTGTAATTATTTGAGGTAGTAATTGTCCCAAATTTTTGTTTGTTTGTTTGCTAAGGCACAATTAAATGGTGGTTTTGTGTAAGGAAGTATAATTGTATAAGGAAGTATAATTGTGCTTGGGAATGAGGCAGTTCTTCTATCCGTTACACTTTGGCTTTAAAAGCTTACTCAAAGCAATTTCATTTTTAATCTGGAAATATCCAGTTAATCAAAATAAAGCAAGGTGCCATTCAGATTAAACACAAAAGAGGCTGATAGGGCTTCAATTACATTTTGCGTCAAAGGAAGTTAAGGAAAAAAGAAGGTAATATCAAAAGGTAGCTTAGGCAATGTTTAGGATTGTTAAAATATCATTTGGACAGGTATATGTATCTTTAAAAAAATGAAACTCCTTGCTGCATTGTCTTTATTACAGCTGTATGAAAATTTAGAAGCGGTTTATTGTGTCTATTAAAAGTGCAGTGATCCTATAAAATGATAATCAGTCAATCAAAAATCAGTTGCATAGTTCATAGAATGGTTTTGACGTGATTATACAGACCCTACAGTCTACATCTCCTGTATAGACTGAACAAAACACTGATACAGTTCCTTAAAAAACCCACCATAATGTACTCTTGAAATACATTATTACTCACTTTCATTATCCCTTATTGTATTTCGTCTCTCTGGTATGCCTTTTTAAGTTTTCATTTAACTTGCATCCAGATTGTCATAGAGTTATATCATTAAGTGTCAATCAATAATGTTTTTGAACATGTAGACGGCAACTTAGAATTAGCAAAAGGTGGCTGATATAAATAGAGTTCTTAATAATGCAGAGTAAATTAGGTATTGGCAGTCAGGCTTAGGCAGAATAACATTTAGTCACTTGTTTTAGTGAATCCCAGTTTGGTGACCACAATAACTAGTGTTGGAGGTGGGAGGAATATTTCATTGATGTCTCTTTTCAGAATTTGATCCTTCACCTATGTATGTCTTTATGTATGCACACTGTGAGGAAAACAAATCCTTTCAACGTTACAGGAAGATTCATAGTCTGATGATTAGAGAGCAAATACTTTTTTAGCAATGCCTCTATGAAAGAAGTGACTAGCTTTCTTTAGTTTTCCCTTGTTATAGCACCTTTATTGAGACAGAGGCTGCTCCTTTTTCGTGAATATTAATACAAATCTTTCATTTTCCAGAAAAAGTTACCCCCTCTCTGCCTCCCCCCAACACACCCCAAAAAAGGAACCATTAAACAGAATGTTTAATTTTCTTAAGTGAGGAGCTCCATATTGTGCCTGAGCTCTCTGATGTCTCTTGTCAACTGTTTAGGGGTTTAGCTCACATCTAATTAAACTAACAACTTTCACATTTTTTTGGTAGAATTTGCCCTCCTAATAACCTGCAGGGACTTATTCTGCTCTATTGATGCAATGGGAACACTCCCATCAACTGCAGTGAGAGTAGAATTGAACCCTGAATGTAGTTTAAAGTTCATTATGTATTATTAGTACTCTTTATTTCTTCAATGTAGCTGGTAAAAAATACAGCCACAAATGAAGCCCTTGGAACTATGCATTAGGAAGACAGCATTATAACGAAGCATAGAAAATTAGAGTTGGAAGGGGCCTCAGGAGGTCATCTCATCCAACCCCACACTCAAAGCAGGACTATCACCAACTAGATCATTCGAGCCAGAGCTTTGTCAAGCCAGGCCTTAAAATACTCTAAGGATGGAGATTCTCTAGGTAACCCAATCCAGTGCTTCACCACCCTCCTAGTGAGATAGATTTTCCTATGAGCCGGGATCCTGGTTTTCTCTGATAAAAAAATCCCCAATTTTTGGATTAAAACAGCAACCCAAAATGCACATTTTTCGTGATTAAAATGAAATACCACTAATAAATATATATAGTAAATATAAATATAAATATATTAGTTAAATATATATTAGCGTTGTTTCATTTTGATGACGGAAAAATGTGGATATTGGGTTACTGTTCTTAATCTGAAAATTGGGGATTTTTTTATCAGAGAAAACCAGGATCCCTGCTCATAAGATAAACTGTTCTCAGTGGTGGCAGATGACAGACCAAGGAGAATGGGCCCAAGTTTCAGCAAGGGAAGTTTAGGTTGGATATTAGGAAAATCTATCTCACTAGGAGGGTGGGGAAGCACTGGAATGGGTTACCTAGTCTCAACAAGGCCCCAAATTCTTCATTTCCCTTTCTGTTGTTTATATCTTTGCAAAGTGAGTGCAACAATGCCACGCTTGTGATTTAGCTGCATTTTATAACCTCTTCGTACACAGGAATTACCCCAACAAAATGTAGGCTTAAAATCTGCTGTTAGGTTGATGTTCACAGTGGGATTAGAATATGACCCTTACTGCAATGTAAATTTTTCATGCACCCATTTATACTCTTCATTATGTGCATGAAGAGGCTCCAAGATGACAATTTCCCTCTTATATGGGAAAGTCTGAATCCATCTTAGAACTACACAGGCTACCGTGGGACAGATTTGAGGACTGACTGAATAAGGGACAGTGGTGTGGCAAGTGACTCCCTAAATACATGGTGGGCATGTACATGCCCCTTTTCACCTAAAGGAGTGGAGCTGGGTCTACAGAAAAGGAGTGCATATTGGCTGCAAGGTGGTGGTTCAATGGCCTGCCCCCACCTGAGTTTCTCTGCACAAAGCCACTTTGCTCAGGTTTTGGGTAGAAGGAAAGGTGAAGTTCACCTTTAATGAATTTAACAATTACTTTTCCAGACTCCTCACTCTGCCACTTGATCTCCTTAATTATGCCTTTTTTCAAGGAACTCTGGTTTTCTAATTTGATGGGATCAAAATAGGAAGAATAAGAGAGGAATGTGAAAACTTGCTGTAAAAACATCAGCAATTTTTTTGATGTTCACTGAGGGTGTCATGTTGGCTTTGATGTAGTTGAGGTGATAATGGGCATGATCCATTTCAACTGATCGTCTTGATTTTTATGTTTTTCTTTTATGATAGTAATCATAGAGGCCTTACCTTCTATGATTTTTAAAGAAAGAGTCTAGTAATTGAGCACAATAGCTACCTATTTTAAATTCTTCAGTTTTAGGTGTCTTCTGAGACTGTCAAACTGTCTCATCTACTGAAAAATCAGTACAGCTTCATTGGCTTCATCAGAGGCTATGGGTGCTGGCAGACTATATGCTGTCAATCACCCAAGAAATGCTCCACTAGATTCTGGAATGACTTATTCCTATTTGAACATGGTTCATTACTTTTACATTTAAAAAGTCTTTGAATTCTTCCACGCTTGCTTCTATTCATAAAAGAATCCATGTCCATCTGTAAGACACCCTTACTTTTCTTCATTTAGGGCTTTGATTTCTGCAAAGAGGATGTACTTGTTATATTGAGAGCTGATTTGAGACAGCTATCTTGAGGAAAAATTAAAGTGGAAACAAGATACAGGTTGCTTTATTTCTCAGTATAGTTATTTGGTCCTAGGTATGACCGTAAACTGCATCCAACTGTAAGGCCTGCTGGCAATATGGTGGGGCTACTCGTGGTGGGGTAAGTCCTACAAAATACCACAATGTTGCAGCCTCCAGAGTAAGGTAAGTATAGGGTGCCTCAGAACCCTAGCCCCCACTGCCTTGGTTGGAGAAAGGCTAAGGGATATCACCCTGACAGAAACACAACCTCGCTGAGGCATGAGGCAGTCGGAAGCAGTTTTTATCTATTGCTCTCTGACAGAAGCTACAGCCATCAAGGCACTGAACATCTGGACTTGGATTAGCCTTTAAATTCTCTTACAATGGTCTAAAGTAGAGCATGGTAGGTCTTGGGCAGCCTCCACTCCTCCATACTCTTGCCTAGGCATTTGCATCAAAGGTCTTGGTGTGATAGTTGCAGGAGTTCCTACAAGCAGGTTCATCAGGCACCTAACTAGACCTCTTATGCATACACCATAATCCAGAGGTTTGCCTACTAAAAAAATAGCTATTTGAACTCAATTGTATACAACTCAGTTGCATCGCACCCCAACTAGCTGCATCTAGGTAAAACTTTCAGTGCCTTTTATTCAGTAAAATTTTTGTATCATTTTAAATATACTTATTGTCCGTTAATTTTTATAACCTTTTAAAAAATGTTTGGAGACTCTAGAAATTTCACCTCCCTGCTCCCATGTGGGTTTATCTAGTTTGGTTAGAAGTATTAAGCGATACCATTTTAACTTTCACTCTGAAGAAATTATTTGAAAACTGGTCCTTGAACTCCCAGTGAAAAGACAGTTCAGTGACATGAGGGTTGGGAGTTTCTCTTCCTGATGTCTTTTATCACCATATGCCTGAATCTATCCTGAAGAGATAGTATAGTGAAGTAGGAAACAAAGTGGACACTGTTCATTTCTAGACTTGAACATTTGAAGTGATCCCAAAATGTTAATAGTTAGTCATGTTAATTTGTAGTCAGGTAGAAGACAGGGCAGGGTGGCATTTTTACGTATGTATGCGTTGCAGCGCCAGGCACTTTGAAACACATACAGTTGTATAAGTGGTGAAATACACGTCAGCGCTGAGAAAATGGTAGTGGCACACTTGAATTAAAACACCTCAGAGGTGCTTTAGTTCAAAAGTGCATCGCCGCCATTTTCTGTGCGCTAACACGCATTTCACTGCTTATAGAACTGCACGTGGCACAGTGCAGTTCGCCTCAGCTCACATGCAGAGCAGACTTGATTAATCGAGTCTGCTCTGAAGTGGTAGATCTCCAGTGCATCCTGGGGAAAAAAAGTATGTGTATGAATGCTATTAGAGACTAAGTGATTGAGAGGCATTAGCTTTTGTTGGCAACAACCTACTTTTTCAAATGCTGACATGATAGTATCTGATAAAGTAGGTAGTTGCATATGAAAACTCATGCCTCTCTCAAACGCTTGGTCTCTATGGGTGCCTATACATGAGTGTGTAGGCTCCATGACATGCTGGAATTCCATTATGTTAGAGCAGACTCAGTTGAGCATGGTGGAGCATGGCAATTACTGCACTCCAGCAGCCTCCTGTGTCTCATGTATCAGCGTCCCAATGCTTAAAAATGGCAGCAGGGGCACTTGACCTAAACCTTATCGAACTTTGGCAGAGATTGCACACATGTTAACAAGCATATATTCTATACTCAACCTGCATGTGCGCTCTACATGTTTTCAATTCTGTTAGGCAAGTGACAGCAGCATATGTTATATGGAACATTGCCCAAAACTTGATGTTTTAGAAGGAAAAGGTAGAAAGTGGCCTTGATCAGTGGATTCAGAGGTTTTGTTTTACATATATATATTATAGATAGATAGATAGATAGATAAAATTTGAGGTTACAGCTTCGAAGTAGAACTACTCAGTATCGTAAGTGCTGTCCTTGTGTAGTGTTTGCAGGATCATAACTGTAGCGCAGGATGTTTAACATTCATACTTGCTCTAATTCTAATGTTCTTTCTTGCTTTTGTACCAACAGGACAGTGATGTTGAGGCAATGGTCATGTATTTGGAAAATGTCCTGAATAACAGCTCTCTAGGTGAGAAATATGTCTCTTTCCCAATATTAATAGTAATATTTAGTAAAAGTATGTTGGAGTATTTGTGGGTTCTACTCCGCTTACTCCCTTTTCAATACAACAATTTTAAAGTTACTTATAAAAGTGGGGTTTTTTTTCCTTGAAAATGGCTTCTGTAGTCATCCGCATAAAATTGTGAATGCCATCAAACATAAAACTGCACGTAGTTCTACTACCTGGTTATGAGATAGATATTAAACATTATGGGTAGAAATAACAGAAGTGACATTGTGAAAACTGTGTATACAATAAAGAATTTTTGAAAAAAAAATTAATATTTGTCTTTGGAAGAGGAATTGAAAAAACACAGTTGCTTCTTCCATTCCTTCTTTAAAGAGAGATATTCAAACCAATCATATATATAAAAGCAGATTGCTTTCTTTTAGGCCAGGAAGGAGTAACAATGAAAAGTTCAGTTGAATATAGAAAGATGATAGACCTGAAAAAGGCAGATTGAAATGTCTTTATTGCTGTAATTCTTTTAAAGCAGAGAAAAGTTTTTGGTGTGTGAGTAATAAAACCTTGCTTTAAAGTTTATTTTTAAAATGGTCCAGGTTTGATTCTTCTAAAACTCAATAGTAAGTTGTTATCAGAGATAAGAGAAAGGCCAAGCTAAAGAAAAATCATGCCATATGAAGTAATGAAATAGTGCATAAGTATATTCTGATTGAAGAAAGAAAGGAACAAAAATATGTTGGTGATATCTTACAAGTCACTGAATAATTTTATAGATGTCCTAGATTTTAGCATAAATAACGAGCAAAAAACAATAAAAGTAAAATGTCCTTTTTAAACATAATGATTGATACAGAATTGGAAAGAAAATTAGTTTGTTTCAATCTTCAGTGAATTTATACAGCTAAAAGCCTTAGTTTCATGTTATATTCTGAAAGTAAGAATCTAAAAGTAAGTTTTAAAAGAAGGAAGCATATTTAATTGAGACTGCCATTATCCTAATCTCTAAAGAACACAGGATCCATTTTTGTTTATTTCTGTACCAGACAAATGTGGGAGATGAATTCCTGAACAAATGGAAACACTGCTAAGTTATTTTATCTCATTTAACATTTGAAATACCAAAAAAAAAATCTTGATTTCTTCTAGCTTTGTACCAGTATAGATACCCACCAAGCAAACTTTCTATACTGTCAAAAGCGCAGTTTTTCTGGTGTTATTCCATTTACAGTAGCAACTTCTGTTAGCATAGCTAGATTGAACAGGGATCATGTTTCTTTCCATTCTTAACTGGTGTTGGCTCTGGATTTAGGACCCAGATGCCTTGTTCTGTGGGTGGCGAGGATGGGCAGGACCCAACCCAACCCAACCCAACCCTCACGCTGACCACGACCTTTCTGTTTGATAATAGGCAAATGTATTCATACATATTGATAACAGAAAAGAAACAATACAGGCAATGAAGCAATTCTATATATTTACCAATCCTAGGGCTGTCATCAGAGTCGAGAAACGTCTGACCAGGATGCAGGCTTCACTCTGAAGGCTCTCTCTTAGGTGTCAGAAGTCAGCAGCCTGGAGGTGGGATGCCGAGGCTGTCTCCCTGCCCCTCTGCTCCCTCCCCCCCGAGTGGAGTGGATGAGATGGAGGTGTGCCCTCTGTCCATAGTGGCCTCAGGGATCCCTCTCAGGGGATGGGAAACAGAAACCCTCTTAGGGATCCTCTCATGGAGGAGGATGTTATATTACTCTTAAGTCTGCTTTTGTATTCTCCTTCCTTCCTGATGACTCTCCATCCGTGGCTATCACTGATTGGTCTCTCTGTGGTCTTCATACTGTCCATGTTCTGTTTCATCAGTACGTTCCAAGCTCATCACATGCACACCCTTCCCAAAATAAAAATGTGGTACATGCATTCTAATGCTCATATATATATATCTGTATAGATATATATATATATGAGCATTAGAATGGTTCAGGATGGGCAACAGAGGTTAACTGAGTTCTAAAAGACTGAGTCTCTCTCTCACAGTTTTCTCAGCCTTCAGAGACAGATGGGCTGTCTAACAAACAAGGACACAGTCTGAGAAACTGGGGACATGTACCACATTATTCCATAACATGAGATAAGGTGGCACCAGCTCGCAAGGCCAAAGGAGGCCTGAAATTCCTGTTTTGGGAAGGGTATGCATGTGGTGAGCTTGGAATGTACTGATGAAACAGAACATGGTGTGTATATTTACATCTATCGATCTAGATCTAGATAGATAGATAGATAGATAGAGGTGGGATGCCGAGGCTGCCACCTATACATATATATATATATATCTATATATATAGATATATATATATATCTATATATATAGATATATATATATACACTAGCCAATTGCCCGTCAAGAATGAAGGGGGGGAGCAGGTGGGGATGGAGCCCTGTGCCCAAGTCCATCTGGGCCTGCTCCACCCTTCCTTCTTGCTGCTTGGGGTTTGGGCCCACTCCCTCCCTCCCTGCTGCAGAAGCAGGGGAAAGAGAGGACCGGGCCCAAGGGTGGGGAGAAGCCGGGCCACTACCATGGAGGGAGGGAGCAGTGTGTCTTGGCCAACCTGGCAGCAGCAGCGGAATGTGAGGAGTGAGCTCGGGGCTGACACAGGAAGGGGGATGGGGGAGGAGTGGGCCTGGGCCCAATGGGGGAGGAGGCTTGCTCCTCCACTCCCCCCACCGCTACCACATAGGGCCGTGTTGGGCCAGGCCCACTGCTCCCCCCTCACAGCCATGGCAGGCTGCCTTTTCCCCCTGCTCAGGCCCGCTGCCCCCCCCACACACACACTGGGCCTGGGCCCATTCCTCTCCTCCCCCCACCACTGCTGCCACAGCGCGCCTGCTCCTTCCCGTTCTGCTGGCCTCACCCTCCCCCCCCGCACCTCCTGTGTCCCCGCCATCATGGCAGTGCAGTGCCACCCATCTAAATGCTTCTTTGCACTCTGATTGGCTATTTGTCAGCCAGTCAGAGCACAAATAAAGTGTTATGGGCAGACAGAGAGACAGCTAGATTAAGGCTTTTATGATATTAGAATATACCTATAAGCCAACTCCCAAAAAGCAATCCTTTAAATACCATTTTTAAGCCATCAACTGGCATACCAGTGCTGGTAGAAGGCTGTAAGATAGATAAGCATGAAAATCCATCAGAGATTTTAATAGCTTATACACTGTTACAAGTGAAATTGAACAACCTCATTTACATTTGTGCAATCATGATAGAAGTGATTCTGTTTTTTTCTTGCGACTCCCAGAGAAGGCCTCAGGGGGAGGCTAAGGCCCTATAAGAGAGCCTCTAGGTCAGGGGTCACTATGCTGTGAGAGACCCAGTTCTGTTCTAGCTTTGTAGCAGCCCCAGCAATTAGGAAATGGACTCAGAATGGGGGCAAGCCTGAGGAGGAAGTGATGAAAGTGGAGGCCATAGCCAGGACGTTCTTCTGGCTGAATGGTTTTGCACTCTTCTAATGGTTTATAAGCTCTAGCAGCACATTGTAGAAATGGCTCAATACAGAGAAACTTTCAGGCCTATGTTAGTCTGTGTGGAGGGCATATTCACTTGCTGTCTGTCCTGACCCAAGTGCAGAGAGAAATCTGCACGCTTTACACTCATTTACACATTCGCTACCATGGGGCACATCCCCACAAGCACACAGCACATGTGCACATATTCACTGCACTGCTGATTTGCAGTGGGGAGGGGTTTTTTGACACCAGGAGATCCCAATGTCAAAAAAAAACCCACCACTAAACAAAGCGTGATACACGCAGCAGCAGCATGCACTACCAGAAACAGAGCCTAGCTGTCCAGAGCCATGCTCTGGCTGCTGGCCAGGCTCTGAACACCCAGATCACCACCACTGCTGCCCTAGGAGACCCCCAGGACTCCAGGTGAGGCTGCTGGGGCCAGCCCAAGTGCTGGCTTCAACCTCCTCTACCCCATCTGGGTCAATCTGCCCCACACCAACTCCATGTGCAGGGGCATACGTAGCAACAAAAAGCAATGGCACAAATTTGTGCCACTCATTTTTGCTGCAGCAACTGCAGGCCCCTACACATGGGGACACACCCATGTTGTCTACCATGGGCTTGCAGGAATATAAATACAAGCAGAATGGCTGTACCCTTGAAATGTCTTTAAGTTACTGTACTGTAGGAAAATAAATTCTGCAGGGTGGTTAGGAAATATAATTAGCCAAGGAAAAAATGTTTAGTCAACAGAGATTATCTACTCCTTGTGTTTATTCCAAATATGTATAGTTATTCTCAATCAGGTTACCACAGCAGCCCAAGTGCCTTGGTATACTTACAAGTGTGCTGCGAGTTGCCAAGTACTGCCAGGGGTGTAAACTTGATTCACAAGAACCTAGAGGGTGTTTATACATGTGCTATGGAAGTGGGAAAAGGGGACTTTAATTAGAGCAGGTCCAAGAGCTACTCTAATTAATGCCCCCAGAGTCTCTTGTGTGTAAGTGTCCCCACACTTAAAAATGGTGGCAGGGTCACTTTAACTAAAGCTTGTTTGATGAGCTTTAAAGTGTCCCCCCTGCCATTTTTAAGCACGAGGACAATGCTACATAAGACACTGGAGTCTGCTGGAGTAATTACCATGCTCCAGCAGACTCGATTAACTGAACCTGCTCTGATGCTCTGTAATTACAGTGCATTGGAGCAGCCTTGCTGTTCATGTATAGGTGCCCGGAGTTTTCAAATAGGAATTCATAATGTTAAAAACATTCTGACCTGCTGTGGTCTTTCTAAGTTCTTTGCTCTATTTTTTATATAGGCTTAAAAATGACAGAAAACTAAATGCTGGCATTTTTTGAGGGGTGAGTTAGATTTATTGAAGGACACCTCAGGCGCGTCCAGCTGAGTGCTCATGTGCCTCTTGCAACATCTCAGAGGAGTTTGAGATGCTGCAAGATGCATGCTAGGGACAAAAAGCATTCCCAGCACTGCATATTTGCAGC